TAGATCGTTTCACAGAAAGATTGTGTGCACAAAAGTCCTTGTCTCACACTCTGCTTTCAAAAAACCAAAACAACCAACCAACAACAACAAAAAAATACTGCTATTGGGTCAACCATATAGGTATTTCAAGACTATCAGTCTTAGCAAAAGCCTCCTCTATCTCCCAGGGAACAGCTGGTGGATTCAAACTGTTCACCTTTTGGTTAGCAGCCCAACATGTAATCTACAACACCACTAGGCCTCCTTACCTTTGCAGGAATCCAAGATCATGTCCTTCTCCCCGTGAGTCCCATTTCACACAGAGAAAATCAAAGCTCTTACAATGGCCAATAAGCCTGAGACTATCTGTGCCCCACCATTTGCTCAATAGCATCATTTCCTGCTAAAATGAACTCCTTGACAACTTCAATCTTTCTTCTGTTTATCCTGATGTTATTTACTGGCTCAGTGGTGAAGATTTTCATTTTTTTATGTTGAGATATAATTCGTATTGAAGGCTGTAGTCTTTGATCTTCATCAGTAAGTATTTCAAGTCCTTTTCACTTTCAGCAAGCAAGAGTGTATCATCTACATATTACAGATTGTTTATGGGTCTTTCTCCAATCCTCATTACAGCCAGGAAAACTCTTGGAGTCTTAGAAATCCGTTCTGCTTAGCACCGAGAGGCCATGAGTTGGAACAGACTCTACAGGTTTGTATTGTTGGATTTGTTTGTCAAGGATATTCAATTACTCGTGCCTCAGGGCCTTTGCACTGGCTGTTCCCATTGCCCAAGATGCTCTTCCTCCTGATATTTCCAAACTTACTACCTCATCTTCTCCTATACTTTTTTGGGATCCCGTGCAAAACAGCTCCACTCACTGCCCTGGTATTACAAGGAAGGGCCCCTTACTGGTAATAAAATTTTTCATCACCAATATGTATGTGATCTTTTTTTCTAGGAGGGGGAGGTGCATATTTTCTAAGTTTTCTCCAAATTGAATGTAGGTGTGAGGACAGAGACTACATTGCTTGGTTGTTCATTCTAGTACCATTTAGAAAAATGCTTGGCAAGTAGTGTTGTTGTTAGTTGCCATCAAGTCAAGAACGACCCATAGCAACCCTATGAACATAAAATCTGAACTCTGTTCTAGCCTGCACCATCTTCACACTTCCTGACACACAAGAACCCACTGCAGCAGTCACCTATCAATCCACCTGGTTGAGGGTCTTCCTCTCCTTCAGACCCTCTACCCTTCCCAGCATTATGTCTTTCTCAAAGGAGTATCCCCTCTTGGCAACATGCCCAAAGTATGTGAGGCAAAGCCTCATCATTCTTGCCCCCAAAGAGCACTCTAGCTGCACCCACTCCAAGATGTATCTGTTTGTTCTCTTGTCTGTCCCATGGGATGTTCAGTGCTCTTCTCCAACACCACAGCTCACAGGCATCAATTCTTTTTGTGTCATTCTTTTTTTTAAATTTTATTTTATTAATTTTAATGAACATTTACAGAGATTTTGGGTTTCCATTCATTCATTGTTGCACTTTTCTCCCTGCCCAGCCCTCCCCGCTGCACAGTTCGCTCCTCTCTTTGAAAAGTAAAAGAAAAATTCTTTCATTGGTATACAATCCTCCCCCCTCCTCCCACCACCCTGAGTACACGCCACTATGCTACCTTCATTCTGGACTCTTGTGATAACCATAATACCCTATCATATATTGCTTTTAAATTGTTCTCTCCCTCATCGGTTTCAATGCAGTATATGTAATTTATCCAGTTTTTCTCAGTTTTACTCCAACCCTGATGTCAGTCCCATTCTACAACAGTGACATCATGCAATATTTGTCCTTTTGTGACTGAGATATTTCACTCAGCATAATGTCCTCTAGTGTCACCCATTTTGAATAATATTGCATGAGTTCCTTGTTTTTCAATGCAGAATAGTATTCCATCGTGTGAATATACCACAGCTTCTCTATCCATTCGTCTGTTGATGGGCATTTGGGTTGTTTCCAACTCCTTGCTATTGTGAACAAAGCTGCAATAAACATGAGTGTGCATATATCTGCTTGATGTCAGTTATGGTCTCTTTAGGGTATATTCCCAGTATTGGAATTGCTGGGTCAAATGGTATCTCTATTTGCAACTTTTGAGAAAGCTCACCATTTTCCACAGTGGTTGCACCATTTTACACTTCCACCAACAGTGAATAAGGGTTCCAGTTTCTCCACAACCTTGCCAGCCTTTGTTGGTTGCTGTTCTGTTAAATTTTGCTATTCTTACTGGGGTGAGATAATGATATCTCATAGTTGTTTTAATTTGCATCTCTCTTAGAGCTAGGGATTTTGAACATTTCTTCATGTGCTTGTTGGCCCTGTGAATGTCTTCTTTTGTGAAGTTTTTTTTTTGTCATCCTTATTCATTGTCAGCTCTCAGATGCATAGCAAATAATTGGAAAGACCATGGCCTGAATCAGATGTACCTTAATCCTCTAACTGACATCACTACACCTCACTAATTTGGAGAGGTCCCTAACAGCAGATTTTCCCAGTGCAATGCAACTCCTTATTTCACGACTGCTCATACCAAGGATGTTAATTGTGCAGCCAAGCATGAAGAAAGCAAAAGATCATCACAAAAATGGAGGAGAAAGAAAAAAATAAAAATGGATGTCAGAAGAGACTCTAAAGATTGCAGTGAAGCATCGAGAAGCCAAAATGAAAGAAAAATATGCCGAAGTGAAAGAGCTGAACAAGATTTTGAAGGGCAGCTCAGGAGGACAAAGCAAAGTATTATAATGGAATGTGCAGAGGTCTGGGATTGGAAAATAAAGAGGGAAGAACTCTGCATTTCTCAAGCTGAAAGAACTGAAAAATAAATTTAAGCCTTATATCACAATATTGAAAGATGCTATAGCTGCTTTATGCTGAACAGGGGTGTTGAGATTAAAGGGAAAGGGAGCCCACTTTAACCCTATACTGGTGGTTTTGAGTTGAAGCTGCATGCCTTCTTGTTCAGTTAGAAGATACTTTCATGACATTTTCCACCCTCTGGACTGCGTGAGTGAGTCCAGAGGGAGTTGCTGGCTGAGATTTGAGGCTTCATCAGCCTTTGCTTCCTTAGCTGGCAGTTATATTTCCCTTATGTCTCTGGAACAGGGCTCTGGGTTCAGGTTCTGGAACAAGACTCAGTGTTAGGTTACCTATAGGAAAAGGAGCAAAGCTGGAGAGAACAAAATTGCGAGTTACAAAGAAAAGGGCTTTGGAGGTGTGACTTACAGGTGTACTGGAGGAGGAGATGGAGGAAAGTGGCTTAGATGAAGTTCCTCATACACACCTGGTAGTTTTGCCAGGGGCCAGGAGGGTTTCCCCTGCCAGGTGGCTCTCCCCAGGGGCTGTGTAGCTTTCTCTATGGGCAGCACTTCCCAGGGGCCAGGTGGCTGTTCTCAAGGGCCAGACAGCTGTCTTCCACCCCCCCCCCCCCCCCCGCAAAGCTCGTCTGAAGTCTGGACCTTGTGGCTTACTGGCCACTATGGATGGGGACAGCACTTCTGGCTCTAAAGCCATCATCATTGCATTCTTCCTCTCTGCCAAGTAGTCTAATTGTAACTTAAGGTAGGTATTACTACTTTTCCTGTCCACAAATGGAGAAGGGGCTTACAGAGTGGTGAGCAGACCCGCTCAAAGTTGAGACAGTAATAAAGGCATTAGAACAAGGACTCTAACCAAGGTTGCCTGAAGACTGGCTGTGAGGCTGCGAGCTCCACATCTTTCATCTTCCCCTTTAAGTAGCCCAGCATATTCACAACAGGAATTCTCATATCCCTAGTGCCACTGGATATTAAGCAGTGGCACACTAACCTAAAGATCAGCAGTTTCAATTCTTCAGCCGCTTCATAGCTGATGCTCCGGTGGATTTCTCAGAGGCAGTAAATCTTAGCCATCTTTCTCCCATGGAGCTGCTTGTGGATTTGAACCGTGTTCCTTTGGGTTTGCAGTGTAACTTCTTACCACTAAGCTACCCAGTAAAACCATATGCACATCTCAATCATGCCAATTCATCATAGTTTCTTTTAACACTTGCTAGATGATTTCACTGCCATTTCCGGAGCCACTGTCCAAGAACATGTGAAAAGGATGCTCCTCCTTCAGACCTTACAGGAAAAGAACACCAGTCCTGCGCCCGCCCACAGGGCTTCCAAGGCTGAAAATCTTTCCTTCAAGAGACTGCCTTATCTTTCTACTTCAGAGGGACTGTGCACCTTTCTGCCAGCAGTCCCTGAGCCCCAGGGCTCCTCAAGGACCTCTGAGCATTTAAAAACAAAACCTCCATGCTCATCATGTGCAAAGGGGAGCTTGTGCCGTCTGGCTCACAGGCCCTGGCCATGACCAGCCTCGTGTTTAGCAGCCCCTCAACCTGTAAGTTCAGCCAGCAGTTCAGCCAGCTAGGGAGTCCAGACGGCTGAGGTCTGGGGACAGGGTGTATGTGGGGACCTGCAGACTCTTCCCAAGCTCTGGCGACTCTTGGGCGTCACCCCAGGCCCCTGCAACGTGCCCAACCACCCACACTGGGGGTTCCGGGCTAGGCCAGGCTGGGATACAGGCTGTGGCTTTTGCACGGACCTAGCACCCCACCGGAAGGAAGCAGCAGCCCCGATGGTCCTGAGGCACGTCCCAGTGCAGGGGACAGGGGCCACCCGTCGTGCTAGGGTCACTCCACCCTCCCCTCCCCCAGCACCCTGCTGCTCTGCGGACAGGCAGAGCGGGAGCTACAGGCTGGGCCCGAAGAGGTTAATGTGCATCTGCCTCCGAATGGTAATGTGTCGAGGTGATGTCAGTAGGAGCCGCGAAGGAGGCGGCGAGAAGCAGGGAGGCGCGGGCCCGCCGCGAGGGGACCCCTCTGGACTGCGGGCTCGGCTCGGCTGGGACGCACGGCGGGCGCGCTGGCGCCGGGGCTGCCGCAGCCTGCGTGGGTGCAAGGGGGGCACCGCTCGGGGTGCAGGTGCGGGCCCCGGGCAGCATGGACCTGGCAGCCTCGCCGCTGCCCACTGGCCTCAATGCCAGCAACACCTCCAGTGGTCCTGACAACCTCACCTACGCCGGTGAGTCCAGGGGGCACCAGCCTCCTCCTGCACCCACCCCGGGGTGGGGGGCTCAGGGTGGGAAGTGGGAAGGGTTCGCACCCCAGCCCAACTGCTCCGGAAACTTTATCACAGTTGGTGGGCACCTGCTCCCCACCCCCATCTCTGCCCAGAGGGGCAGAGGAGCTAGGACCAACGGGGCAGGAGCAGAGAAGGGGCCCGGGCAGAGCCAGGGTGGCGGCGATGGTGGCGATGGTGCGGGGGATGAGTTCCGAAGACGCTTTGCAGAAAAAGGAAAAAAGAAAATCTGGCTGTAACAGCAAGTAAGGAGAGCTGGGTGTGTGGGAGGCAGCTGGGCACTCGCTGGGCGACTCCGGGCTGGGGTCAGAGCCGCCTCTGCAGCCGCTGGGAGGATGGGCTGCACAGCAGGCGAGGGGATTAACTTTTCTGGTGAATTCAGCTTCTTGACATTGCCAGCTGCCCTGGGAGAAGGGAAGGAAGGAAGCAAAGAGAAATGGGTGTGTGAAGAAAATTCCCGACCTGCGGGACACACATCCCTCCCACTTCGCACGGGGAAACCTCGGGCACAGGAGACACCAGCCGGGAATTCCCTTCCAGGAGGCCAGGGGGTGGGAGCCAGGCCCGAACCAGCACAGGACAGGCATCCTCGGAGAGGCCAGTGTGCATCTTGCCAGCAACGTCTAAAATGAAATGACAGGAGTGAGCAGCAAACGCTGTCATGTCCCTTTGGCAATGCTGATGGGGTTCGCTGGCGAAGCCCAGAGGTCCTGCAGTGGCTAGTGGACAGCTGGGGTCACAAGCAGGAGGTGAAGGACAGGTCTTAGACTAACAGGTGGGGTGGCTTCGGGTCGTTTGATGGCAGGCAGCAGCGTGGGGAGGGAGGACAGCGGGGGACGGAGTCAGGAAGAAAGGCAGGCCCCAGTGGAGTGAGGTAGACTAATGCCTGGCTGCTGCTGGGCGAGCCAGGGACAGTGCGTTTGGTGCACAGCCCTGGCCACGCGTCCCACACTTGCTCCTCTGTCCGCAGGCCAGCCCTCTCGCACAGGAAGTATTTCCTACATCAACATCATCATGCCGTCGGTGTTCGGCACCATCTGCCTCCTGGGCATTGTGGGGAACTCCACGGTCATCTTCGCCGTGGTGAAGAAGTCCAAGCTCCACTGGTGCAGCAACGTGCCTGACATCTTCATCATCAACTTGTCGGTGGTGGACCTCCTCTTCCTCCTGGGCATGCCCTTCATGATTCACCAGCTCATGGGCAATGGCGTCTGGCACTTTGGGGAGACTATGTGCACGCTCATCACGGCCATGGACGCCAACAGTCAGTTCACCAGCACTTACATCCTCACAGCCATGGCCATTGACCGCTACCTGGCCACCGTGCACCCCATCTCCTCCACCAAGTTCCGGAAGCCCTCGGTGGCCAGCCTGGTGATCTGCCTCCTGTGGGCCCTCTCCTTCATCAGCATCACCCCCGTGTGGCTCTATGCCAGGCTCATCCCCTTCCCGGGGGGCACGGTGGGCTGCGGCATCCGCCTGCCCAACCCTGACACTGACCTCTACTGGTTCACCCTGTACCAGTTCTTCCTGGCCTTCGCCGTGCCCTTCGTGGTCATCACGGCCGCCTACGTGCGGATCCTCCAGCGCATGACTTCCTCCGTGGCCCCCGCCTCCCAACGCAGCATCCGGCTGCGGACAAAGAGGGTGACTCGCACGGCCATCGCCATCTGCCTGGTCTTCTTTGTGTGCTGGGCGCCCTACTACGTGCTACAGCTGACCCAGCTATCCATCAGCCGCCCGACCCTCACCTTTGTCTACCTGTACAACGCGGCCATCAGCCTGGGCTATGCCAACAGCTGCCTCAATCCCTTTGTGTACATCGTGCTGTGTGAGACCTTCCGCAAGCGCCTGGTCCTGTCGGTGAAGCCCGCGGCCCAGGGCCAGCTGCGCGCCACTAGCAATGCTCAGACGGTGGATGAGGAGAGGACAGAGAGCAAGGGCACCTGACACCTCCCCTCTCCCCCTGGGCACCTCCACATGATGACAAACCATGCAGAGAGATGCTGAGCAGAAAACCCAAGACTGTTCTATCCTCAAGGCTGCAGGGAGAATAAGCAATGAGCGTTTGCTGCAACTCAACACATTTCCCCTGGGCCCACAGGCAAAGGCCGCTGCTCCAGGCCAGATCTGGGGGCTTCAACCGTCAGAAACGTCCTTGGGGGAGCAGGATGAGAACTGTGGGTCAGATAAGTCTTGACAACAAAGAAAATACCGGCTCAAATGATCAGTGGAACCCTACCTCTGTCTGCTCCCGAATGTCCTTTTTTCCCAGGAGAGGATCTAGAAGACCAGGTGGGGCTGGGGTGTGAACAGCTAGGGCCGCATGAGAAGGTCCTCGGATGAGGGGACAATGGTGGTCTGAAGTCTTTTTCACCCCTCACCCTCCTGATGGTCAGCAGCTCTTCCCCCGAGCTAGAGGATGATGAGAAGTGCCCTCTCTGTGTCCCCACAGATTTGGGTGTCTTCCCTGTATCTCTAGGGGGATGCATGCTTAACTGAGGGGGAATCTTGGAGCCCAACAGCAAGCACATTGGCTTCCTGAGAGGGACATGTGAAGCTGAGGCTGGGATCTGGGAGGCTGGGTCCTCAGAGGAATGAGGAGGGGGGCTTTTGCAGCTGTGGGAACATTTTCTTGGGGGGCACATTCCAGAGTGAACACTATCTGTGTCCTGCACATGCAGAGATCATGCTAATGCCCGACGTGTGGGCGACATCTTTTCTCTCAATCTCCTTCACCCATGAATAAAAAGAAAAATTAATAAAGGAGAACCCTTCTACATCCAGTCTGGATGCTTCCATATAATTGCCGGGCCTGAGGGTGAAGGGATAGGGCTTAAAACAAACCCAATAAAACCAAAGGTCATTGGAATTTAAACAATGGCTCAAACTGTGTTTCCAGCAGCTAGAAGCAGGAGATCTGTTTGTTTAAATCCAAGGGGAGCATTTGGGGACACCAATGGAATTACTGTGGATTCATTTGATTTTGAGGTTGTTTGCTGGGTAGTTCTCAGGATGTAGCTTTGTGTTTTATGCACAAAGCCCTTGGACTCATTGTCACCCATGCTGGCACCTCGGGCCCCAAGTTCCACCCTCCTCCGGTGCTGAGTCACCAGCTGCGGGGCTGGCTTCTTGGGACAGCCTGTGCCTGCCTTGACTTGAAGCTGCTAAGATCTGCTGTGAGCCACGCTGAGCAGGAAGATTACAGATCAGGCCGCTAGGAGGCAGCCGTGGCTGCTGCCTCTGATCGTCTCCCACTCGGAGTGCCACCAGTGAATGGGAGCAAAGACAAGCTCCCCATCTAGTTGGGGGACAGGTAAGTTCCCCGTCTAGGTAGGGGGATAGCCTCAAACCAGATGCAGCCTTAAAACAGGTGGCTCAGCCTGTCCTGCTTGCTGGTTGGTTTTCACTGCAGAATGCCAGCAGGTAACCTGCTTGGGAAAACTTCGAGGCTGTTTCCTTGGGTTCTGAGAGCTCTAATGGGATAAACTATGACTCTGCTGTTTTTCAGGTGCCATCGAGTCGAGTATGACTCATAATGGTCCTTTGAACAACGGATGGTACCTTGCACTATCCTGAACCATCCTCATAATCCCTGACACACTCAAGCCCATTGCAGCAGTCATTGTGTCAGTCAACCTTGTTGAGGGTCTTCCTCTCCTTTGCCATCCCTCCACCTTTCTAAGCATGTTGTCCCTCTCCAAGGAATAACCTCTCCTAGCAACATGTCCAAAGTATGTGAGATGAAGCTTCACCATCTTTGCCTCCAAGGACCACTCTGGTTGCACCTTCTCCAAGATATTTTTGTTTGTTCTTTTGGCTATCCATTGGATATTCAGTCCTCTCCTCCAACATCACAACTCAGAGGTCTAAGTTCGTCTGTCATCCTTAGTCATTGCCCAGCTCTCAGATGCATAGCAAGTGATTGAAAAGACTATGGTCTAAATCAAGTGTGCCTTAGTCTCTAACATTGTCACCCCTCAGTAATTTGGAGAGATCCCTGACTAAAGGCTTTTCTAGTGTCTTTTCATACGTCTTCTGATCTCCTGACTATGGATGTGGATCCAAGTAAAAGGACATCGCTGACGTTGACAGTTTCAATCTTTTTTTCCATCTATCAAGGTCTAAGGATGAGAATTTTTGTTTTCTTGATGTTGAGATGCAGTCCATGAAGGCTGCAGTATTTTTCTTTCTTTCTTTCTTT